CGCCCGGGTTGTAGCTGTTGATCGAGCCGGCCCAGTTGTCCCACTTGAAGTTGCGCATCTGCACGGACGAGTTGTTCGGGCGGTTCGCGGACGCCTTGCCCTGGTCGCTGTAGGTCTGAGTGATGAAGATGGGGAACGTGACGTTGTAGAGGCGGATGTTCGACCACGAGACGTCCTTCACGAGGCCCTGGGGAGGGTTGGTCAGTATCGTACTGGACGCGCGCGAGACGGTCTTTCTGCTCCACGTACCTGGCCGCCGACCCACGACTTGAAGCGCGCGGCGTACAGGCCTCCGGCGACGGTGATGTCGTCGAATCGAATGTTGGACACGGTGTAGAACTTCTTGGCGTCGGAACCAAGGGAGCCGATGCTCATGCCGTGGGTCTGGTATCCGATGATACTGCGCTCGACAACGACGTTCTTCGCGCCATCGCTGATGGCGAAGGCGTCGTCGCCGTTGTAGATGACGCAGTCCGTGACGTGAACATCAGTGGCGCCGATGCCCACGCCGTCCGTGTTGAAGGGGAAACTCCAGTCCTCGGAGACAGAGTCAACGACGGCATTCGCGATGCTGATGTTGGACCCCTTGACGGCAAGATTCCAGGCGACGGGCTTGGAGGACTTGAAGTAGTTCATGACACCGTTGGTGGCTTTGAAAGCCATAAGATGCGGACGGTTCGGGAGACCGGTGCCGCCGGCCTTCGCGTTGGCAGACCACCATGCCTGGCCGTAGCTGTAGATCCAGCCATGTGAGATCTGAGGACATCGTCAGTTGGTATGTATCACTAGCGTTCGGTTGTAATTCGACGCACATCTGAGTTGCCGATGTACTGTATGTCGGTACCCGCAAAGTCGAACCAGTGGCCGTTGCCTCCTGCGACGATCTTCTGCACGGCGGAGATATCCTGGGGCAGATGCAGATTGCCTTGAACCGAAAGGATCACGTTGGTGAGGTTCAGGGCCGCAATGGGCTCGAAGACGTTGTAGTTGGACCCCTCCTCGAACAAAATCAACGAGTCCCTGTTGCAACGATCAAGAACCTCTTGGATGGCTGCCGAGTCCGATAAAGTGCCCCCAGAAGCGGGGACCACGCACTGCTTGCGGCACGCTGCTGAAGCAGTACCCACAAGGAGGACGAGGCTGAGGGATCGGAGAGAAACCATGGTGACGAACGAAGGAGATCGAGACGAGAATCTGTTGAGTCTGCTGGCTACTTGCCTGCTCCGTGCCACCCCAATGAGCTTCTTAAGTATGTTTAAGCATCTCGCCTTACCCCAAAATCTACCCCCAGGCTTCGCTCCAGACGAAGCATCCCGGAGGCTAATTACACCACGGGGCCAGTTCGTCAAGGGGTAACCACCTCTCAAAAGGAGACCTGTATGGACGGAAAAAGATGCGCCGCAGCCTTCACTCGACTAGCGACCGGACCACATCGTCAGGATATCCACTCCAAATATTACGGTCAGTCAAGATACAGGCCCGGATGGAAGAGGCTGCTGAACCGCGTTGTCATCTCCAGGCTTCGGTTAGTGTGCCGTCTTGGCGCGGCAGCTTTGGGCCGAACGTGGGCCGCGCCAGGGTCGTTCCCGGGGGGTAGCGTTGCTGCCAACCTCTCAGATCGCGGGGTGCCAAGTAATTTCGGAGTGTGCTTTACTGCACCCCTGCCTTGTACCCGACTTGGATAGTAGCCTACGCAAGCCCGCACGGCCGCTGGGTTTCAGCGAGATTCCGAAGCGTGATCGTGATCTTTTTACCTTCTTGCAACGGGCCGCTAATGCAAAAGTTTCTTTTAACACACTTTGTTTGCTTTTATTAAGGTACAGCGCTCTGCAGATGAATGGATTGTCACCAATTTGCGCAAGGTTCTCGGCAACGTTGATTCCCGTATGATATAGAGCGCGATTCGGCGTGCGCTAGTAGAAACAAACTCCAACTGCTCAATGCCTAGAGAGCTTGCCATTCCTCCCACCAAGCTGTGGTTAAAAATATTTTGCAAGGCAAATTACTTGCGTTCGCCTGCTAAGTGTGGGCAGCTGGCTGACCTGCCCAATTTGAGCAAGCTGTAGTGAGGATCAACCATGTCTTTTCGGCAATGCCATGTTCATGGCTTACGATCATGAATAACGTAGTTATGTGACGTGGCATGGGAATGGGTACCAGTCAACGTTGACAGAGTCCGACGGCGACCTCTTCCGCGCGTGCCGAGCTGTGACCTCAGCTGACTGGTTTTGCAAACCGCAAAAGTGATGTTCGGTATGAGTGAACAAAAAACGGGTTGGTTTTGGAGAGGTGTAGATATTTGAAGAAACTTGGATAAGGGTTCTGCATTCTACACACTTAAGAGGATGTTCAAGGGGTACAACTCGCCTGGCAGTAAAGAACACCCAGAACTCAGGAAGGGGCCAACTCAAAGGCCGATATATCTTGGTCTATATTAGTGTCGTGCCTTTGCTGTTGTAGGTGTCCCAACTCTCCCGAGTCCGAATTTCGTCTCTGGTACATAATCCAAAACATTCTTCATAATCGTGTGGGCTCATGTTGCTCAAGCGTTCCTTACTCGAGATACCTACTCGATACCTGTGGATGGAAACGGAGCAAAAGAGGAATAAAATAGTTTTTGAGCATTGTCGTTGCAAGAATGTGAGAAGGAAACGGTTAAACGGTCGCGACTGTCATCTTATCTTCGCACTGCCCATTCATTATGCCCGAAACTCAGAGGCGCGGCGGAACCTCCGAGTTCTTCCTCAGAGAGGTCCGCAAGGCTTTCATGCGAGCAGCCGTAATCATCATCGATTTGGGAAATTCATCGCCAAGTGTCTCATCCAGAAGCATTTGCGCAATCATCTCTCCCGCCCTCCACGCCTTGACCATGCCCACACCGTGAAAGCCACCACAGACCCACTGACGATGGCGTGAGGGAAACACTGTTGTTAGGGGTCCGACAAACGGCAAAGCATCTTGTGTGAAACCGAGTATTCCAGACCAAGAATCAGTGATGTGCGCCGATGAGCCTTCCACAGCTGAAGAGACAACCTGATCACCGAAACCGCGCAGGTGCGCCATGGGAAGTAGATCAGTCTGGCTGTCGTCCCCGGTGGCCCTTCGACCCATGTTGGCACGTCCGACGACAATGCCCCCATCTTGACGCTGGATAAGATAGTCGTAGTCTTTGTCTGCGTAGCGTAGCCAGAAAGAATACTTGCTGTCAAGGCCCAGAGCAGATTTCGCGTTGACCGAAGCGTCTTCTTTCGATGCGACAGAGCCGTAATGCACCACGTTTCCTCGGACAGGTGAAATATACGGACGCAATTCAGGCAACAAATGACCAAGCCAGCCGTTTGTAGCATGTACCACGGCTTTTGCACGTATATCGCCTCTGCTTGTACGAACAGTGGCGAATGGACTTCCGGACCGGTCGTCGATCGAGAGGACGGGTGTGCCCGTTTGTATATTGACTTTGTCGAAACTGACCAGAGTTGCTAAGAGGTTGGTGACCATTTTAAATGGCCACACCGAAGCTGCGGGAGTGGTGATGGCGCCAACACAACGAGCGGAAAGCTTCATGTCCCCTTGCAGCACTGTGGTGTCTGTGCATATCTTGTACTTGTCCGCAAGATTGGGGGCATGCAATCTCATATCTTGAAGCGCGGCTACGGCTTTTGCAAAGACCGTTTCATCGTAGTACGCGTCCACACCCTGTACGGGCACGAAGTCACACTCGAGTGAATTGGCGTGAATGATATGAGCCATGACGTCGAGGTGGCTCTGTTCAAAAGCCGTCATTTTAATCGCTTCTTCCAGTCCAAGCCTTTGCTTGCGATGATCCCAGACGGCATACGTCATGGTCTTGATGTGTCCTCCATTTCGGGCTGTCGCACCGGAGCAAAGGCTACGCGCATCGATAAGAGTGATATTGACATCTGGGCGTCTCGACAACAAATTGTGGGCAATACTGGCGCCCGATATACCGGAGCCAATTATAACAACATCGACAATTGAGTGAGGCCAAGCAGACTTGTGGTCCGCCAAAGGGTGTAGCCCGGAGTGCCAGAAGGGCTGGGTGGAGTTGGCGACGGGTAATCCAGGGTCAACGACGCCTGGTTCGTAAACACCTTCGGGTGAGCCGGACATCTTGAGACAGATAATCACAGCAAGGAATGTCTAAATGGCTGGAAGGAATATCAAGAGTGCTGCAACGATGAAGAAAAAAACTGCCTTATGTACCCCTCAACAATGCTGTGATGTGCGCCTGACGCGTGATGGCCCACCAGAAGCCCGGGCCGGTACAATACGTTTGGGCCTCCGCTGGATACTGGCATGTTGGCATCACATGGCGAGGCGCTTTGCATTTAATCACGAATCAAAGAAAACCACGAAGGAGATAGATGGAGATCTAGAATAGTAATTTTCCTGTTTTTCAAGAGAAGACGAAGATATTTGCTGGCCAAATTGAAGCGATGTATTCAACGCGTTTGTCATCCCTTCCCTATGACATGATCATGGTCACTCGCCCGGCTGGTCACCGGCTACTTGACCACGCTGGGAAAGGCAGGAGGCCCACCCCCGCAGTTGGGTGAGGTAATATCGCAATAGAGAACAGTCCAGATCCTGAGATCCCTACTTTAGTACCTCTAAATTGTGAGGACAGCTTGACACGTGAAATGAGATCCAGTATATTGGACTACCAGGTGGCATCGTTGCACGTGCCCCTGTTTCCCATACGGCTCAATCTTATTGTCTAATTCGGTGACCGACGGGCATAATGGAAGTGACATATACTGGAAAGCAGGGACGCTTGTTGTTTCGATCCCTGTAGAATTTGCCCCCAGACCATGGCACAACTACCCACCTTGTTGAGTTCAATCTCCCCTCGACTTATCTGTAGCTCAATTGTTGGAAACTGACCAATAAAGTCCATCTGCATGATTTAAAGTAGCGACAGGGGTTGAAAGTGAAACAAAAACTGATCAAATGACCCACTACGCATTACGAACCAAATCCTACTTCGCGATAGGCGCTTTCATCAGAGATGTATCGGATGGCGGCCCACCGAACTTGACCCAGAGGTCCTGAGGTCGATACCAGGCTACATGCTCCTTTTGCAGAAGCTGGTCGACAGCTTCACTTTGGCGCTGTCTGGTCAGGGTCAGTGCCTTTTCCGCGAGCTGCAATAGTCGAGGTGGATCTGGATCTAGATCATCAAAGACCGTGACACTTTCTGTCCCTTCCTCAGCATCGGTATACAAAGCTAGATCCTCGTCTACTTCTGGAATTTTGAGCACATTCTGCGCGCTCAACTGGGATTCCTCCAATTTCTTGTTTGGTGCTTGATCAACAAGGATATGATCGAACAACACTTCCGCAATCTTTCCTCCCTCTCGTGGGTTACGGCCTCGTAACAGCGTGGCAAGATCAAGAATAACCCACAGGAAAGACCGCGTGAAGTTCTGCCGTTCGGTTCCGTAGAACAACTGTTCCAACTGAAGAATGGCTTTTGATATATAGCCACGATCTGCCAGCAGCAAAGCTTTGAGATGGAAGACTTGACAGTGCCTGTCGAAGCTGTTCTGCAGAGCACCCTCTTGTTCGAGTTGCTCAACCGTCTTTTGAGCCTCCGAGAGCATTCCGAAGTCCCGGTAAGCCACCAAAAGCGAAATACGGATGTCTAGGGCCCATATGCTGTCACATGGGACAACCAAGAGTCGTATCTTGAGGGCCTCTTTCAAATTCTTGAGACTTTGCTCTCGTTTGCCCTGGATACGCTGTATGTCTCCCATGGGAAACTGTGCCATTGAGGTGAAGAGATCTTTGTCACCATACTGTTTTCTTCGATAATCGAATACGGCAGTCAGTATCTCGAGCGCCGTATCCAGTTGGTTCAGCTGGACAAGAGCAAGCGAGTATAAAATGCGACCACCAAGGTAGCGAGGATCTTGTGCGCCAAATAGTCTCCGAAAACCTGCACAAGCGGTTTCCTGCGTTTTCGCACTTTGATTGAAACGAACCAACTGTAACTCAGCAGAGCCTCTAGAGTTGAGGGTCCTGAATAGAGTTGGTTCGTCTTCTCCAAACAATCTCTCTTGGATCTCAGCGATGGCCCTAAGCTCCAAGTTTGCCTTGTCTGGAGCTTCAAGCTCCAACAGCACAGTCGCGTTGTCGGATCTTACTCGAAGAGTCAGAGGAGCTTCAGAGCCGAGGTCATTCTCCAGCCCTTTAACTGCTTGAGCAAGAAGAGGACTGGCTTTCAGAGTTTGGCCAATGTCTCGTTGGAACCTGATATTCTGCAACAAGGCAAGCCACTGCAAGAGCTTGTCTTGTCCTTGACGCCGCTTGAAGGACTCACTGAGCTTTGTGTATGGATATATCAAATAGTCCTCGACCGATATTTGATTCTGCTTGGGCGTAGGAAGGTCTCGGTACCATGCCTTCAGCTGTAAGTTCGTGCGTCGAATGTGATTGTAGTCGTTTTTACTCTCCAAGAGTGTATATTCGGCCCAGTAGGCAAAGTTCGACACGTGCAAGAAAAGTTGCGCAAGCTCAAGCAGTCCGTATTCAGGATCATCGATGGCTGTGAGGTGAAATGCCCAGTTCTTTTGCGCATATTCAAAGGATACCCCTTTGGAGGGAGGTTGAGCCGTCCACTGCATACTCAGTAGCTGTAATGCCAACCCGCGTGTTGTAGACTTGATGTTGCGGTGCAGCAGTCCTCCAATTTTATCCTCTGACCCATATCCAGCGTCGAGTAGACACAAAAGGCACTGTTCCGCTAGCTTGCTGTGCGATTCAAAAGATGTGATAGAGACGAGAGCTCGTGTTCCGAGGGCATGCTGGCTGAGAATCTCACTGCTTTGGAGGCAATAGTCACGTACCGAGCTGTGCATGAACTTCAGTTTGCCGTCGTCCAACTCGATGAAAGGCTGGCAGCGATATGTTATGAACTGTTGAACTGAGTCGCCCGCAACCTCCAGTATTCTTGCAACATCCTCAATGTCGAGTGGAACCCGAGCTTCAAGCATGACGACAAATATACGGCGCCGGGAATTTGCGGTCTCGAGTGGAAACTTGTTGTCGGTGACTCGAATCAGTTCGTCGTATACGTCTGACAAGTCACTTGGAAGTGTGCCAAGGCGCAACTGAAACTCTTCCGGAGATAGAAGCTCGTCGAGGTACTGCAGCATTGCTTTGGCCCACATGAACATGCCATCTGCCCGCAGACGAATTTTCTGCAAGACACGTTCCCTTTGCTCCGCGGGAATTAAGCTTCCATCAGCGTGAAGTTGCTTTTCCGTAAAGTTCATGATATCTTGGGTGTTTAGGCCGCGATCAATACGTATCTCGAACTGCGGAGCGATAACTTTCGATGTGTCGGCCTGCCGGCGTGAGAATATCACAATGCGGCAGTTGTGATTTGTCGATAAGTCGCGAAGTTCATCTAGGAACCCTCTCAAGCTTGGTGTTCCGTTCGTATTCTGGCGTGCGAATTGGCATTCATCGAGTCCGTCGATTATCCAAGTATATCTGACATGAGTCAAGCGTGAAAATGCCGTCTTGCAAATAGGCCAGATGGCACTCCAAGAACACGTTTTTGACCCGCCTACATGCTCGGTCTGCAGGCTTCGAAGTCCGTCGGCCACATCAACATCGAGCTTCCTCTCGCTGTTAAGATGATATGTTAGGAGTCGATGCAGCAACTTGCCGCATAACGCGGAAGGATTCGATGCTTCAAGATTGCCAGCACCACCAGGAAAGCGTGTATGGATTACAAGTGGGTCTTTCGAGGGTGATTGGGGCTGCAGAAGACGATGGAGCCGTTGATATACTGAAATCGATAGCATGGACTTTCCACTTCCTGACCCAGGCTTTCTGTTAGGCTTTTCGACAAGCACGAGGATGTGTTCACTGACCTGACTTCCCACTCAACCAAAGCAAGCCGTTGTCTTTCGAATCTTGACTGCAGCTGTTAAACCATTCAATCCAAGCTTGTTGTTGGAATAACCATTCCCCGGTCCCCTCGATAGGGCTATGGCTGTCTTGGAAAGAGAAGCTTGCTGCATCTTTCTCGAGCCACGACTGTATGTCTTTAAGATTTGCGGTATCTAAGGCAAGAGAAAGTTATCAAAATCAGCTAGCACGAAATCTGGAGGCCAGGCGCCGCATCAAACAAGCTGCCCACATGCTTGAAGCACGGGCTAGGCTGAAGAGAGAACCAGCGGCGTGGCCTGAGCATCACCCTGAAAGCATACCTTTTGACGAGGCGCGCCAATCGTGCAGCCAAGTGTCGTACATCTTCAAAGCTTGCTCTACAGATGATTGATGGACTGCCGCAATCCCAGTCAGCAGAGGGTTCTGAAACCTGCGGTTAAAGAAAAAGGGACCCAAAGCCAATCACTGGCTTTGCTCACTACAAAAACACAAACCTACCGTGTAATAAAGATATCACTCTATTCTCTGTGAGCGAGAGCCCGGCACCAATAGACTCCAGTCGGGTAGTAGTATCGAGTTGAAATTTGGTTCCTGGAGATACTCATTATTGTGCGCTCAAGATACCAGAAATGCTGTTGCTCAAGCAACGCCGAACCCATGTATGGAGGTGATCCATCTTGAAATTAAGACAGTGGGACCCTTCGCGCACCTTTAGGTTTGTAGGTTTCGAGACATCCAGGCGGCTCACATGAGCTGAGACTGTTTCTCAATGTCCGAACACAAGAAAGTTCATACTGCCACTTGACAGCGAGATTTGCCAAATGTCGCAATCTGTGACATGGCCTACGTGCGGTGCTGCCTACTACTTCAAGCACCCGGTTTCGAATAACACCGACTCGAGCAGAATACACACGACAAGTATGTAAGGAGCCACGGCTTGACGTACGTTTGTCATGGAGCGCTGTGCTCAGTGTCGACATGGCACCCTGAAGTGCGGTTTTCTTTTGAGTGAATTTATCCAGTGGTACGGTGCCAGGTCGAAGAGACGAGAAGAAGCGCCCTGGAACCATAAGATTATTCGCTATATTCCCAACGAAAGTGAGGCGAACGGTGGGTGGGGAGGGGTTAAGGGATTTTGGGGCGGAATGATGATCCGTCCAGTCATGGCGTAAGGATGCCGGGGGCCCATACCGACAGACTGCAACGACAGATGCTCCTTCGCCAGAAGAGCAAGGTCGATTGCAGCAGCAAGAACACCCACAACAATGTCGCAGATTCGGTCGTCGGCGGAGAAGTGAGCCGCGGATTCAATCCAAGAGATAAGATGGCCCTCGATCAGAATGATCCCATCAATGGCTTCTTGCGAAGCTCTTTGGGCTTCGTCAAAGGCCTGGAGAGGAGTGTAAGCTGCGAGTTGAGCTGATGAAGGGGAGAGAGAATGATCAGCTGCGGGGTTGGGCCAAGGCTCTCACAATTGGATGCTGATTTACAACCCCAACATGCGGTGCGAGGCAAACAACTAACCTGCAAAGCAACTCTGGCCGGGGCCCAGACGAATGTGATGACCTTGATCTGGGAGAAAAGATCAACGGTTCGGTGATGACGGTACAGAAATTGGCACAAGCAGCCGCATCGCCAGAGGAAGGTCTTCTTCGTATGGTGGGCTGATGACAAGTAGTGATCCCGGGTGAGGATGGCACCTTCGATGATACTTCGTCCTACAGAGCCACCATCAGCGTCTGTTAACATGTGGATGTAGCGCCTGTGTCGAGCCCCGCCTCTCAGAAGGGTACGGTTGTACTTCTGTAGAATCAAACATGAGTGATCTAGTAGTAAGGACGTGGGTCTAGACAAGTGGAAGATGAAATGCTATACTCACATCTACAGCGCGGTACCAAAGGTCCTTCTGGCGGCGGTCATCTGTCAAGGTACTTGTAGGCGACTCATCTTTCCCCCCCGAAAGCCCCATGAAACCTGCCATCGTGATTTTAAAAGTCCGGCACACAGCGCCATGACCATGTCATTTGATGGACGTGGGATCCCCGACCTGTTGCGAGGTACTGTCAATTTATTTTTCGAGGCGCATGTCGCCTGCCACCCCTTTCTTTCTCCACTGGCCCTTTTTCTTTCTTCAACACCGTGGACCATGTGCGTGCTTTGGGCATCAAACTAGTTGAGGCTGAGGCTATTGGTGTCTGTAGAGGGACCCAAAGCCGCCACCCACCAGCGCGGTGAAGAGTGTGAGATGCTTGAGCCGGCAAACGCCCATAACCTAGCCACATGTAAGGCTTCCTCATTCTCACATGCTTCAGCGGCGGAGGGTGCCCTGAGGTGCATGCTAGTTCGCTCGTTACGCAGCCTTACTTGCCTTGATGTGCACGAGATCCGTTGGCGAGTCGCCAAGGCTTCCATCCCACATCTGCTGTTGTTTGGGGGGGGGGGGGGGGTGGGGGCAGGGGAGTTAGGTGTTACAAGTACCTTCTTGGGGTACTTGTTTTCGTGTACACGAGGCTGCTGGCAACGAGTGCTGGCCAGTGCGTAGGTACTCACTGTAGTACTTTACCGTAGGTAGCCTGTTCATTGTCAAGCAACTGGTGGGTAGGGATTGGGGGTCTGTGGAATTTCCCCGCACTTGCCTCGGACGCCGTCGCCAGAGTCTGAATTTGAATCTGTTAAGAAAGCTCACAAGCGATTCAGAGAAGAAACTTGATTTGCAATGGCGATACGATAGAAGCCGATTTCCCACCATGGTTTCCTGAACCTTGCGACCTGTGTTTGTCTGAAGCCTGTTTATCTTGTCCTCCAAGGCTCCAGGTATCGGAGCCTCTGCAAACCTGACCCTGCCATCTGGATAAATACGTCTTTTTGACAGCGGTAGAGGAAGATTGGCCACTGATAGTACGACATCTAAGTTCTTGATCTCGCGAATATGTTATGAGGCACCTTTGGTTCTATGTCCTTCGCACAAAAATGCCTTGTTGATGAGCAATAATCAACTGGGAAGCGGCAGCCTCCAACGCACTAGCTCCCAACGAACCTTGAGCTGCAATCGCGCTTTTTGCTTACTTTCACCGGGTCTTTGGAGGCACAATGTAGCAACTTATCAATGTTGAGACCCTGAACCAGAACTGCCATGGCCTTTATGTCGCTTTGACGTGCCGCTGCCCCCTCCCGACTTCTTTCGGTGGGAATCGTCGTAGTACTTTGAGCTATGTTCTTTGTGGGACCGCTTCGGGTCATGACTTCGTCCTTTCCCCGCCAGGCGTCTCTTCGACTGACTTGGCTCGCCCGCCTCGATTCCCGATCCAGGCTGTTCATCGTCTGAAATATACAAATTCTCTGTGTGATAAAGAAGTTCTTGTACTTCTTCCTTATTTTCGACCTTATCTGATATCATGGATATTTTTTGGTGAACGTCATGTCGTTCTTGGTCGTGAGTGATCAGGGACTCGAATATGTGTCGGTCTCGTGATTCTTCCCACTGATCGTGACTGGGTGGGCACGTTCTTTCCAAGTACATAGTGCCATCAATCTCATAAACAAGGCCTTCGAACTTCTGGCTTTTGAGATCGAAGACGTCGATCTGGTCGCACGTTATCCAGAGGCCATGTTTCCGACAGAAATAGCCTCCTCTGTCGTTTTTGCACCTCAACTTTTGCCACGTTTGGTATTCTGCTTCCCATCGGTAATGATCTCTCTCATCCTCGGAAGGGGGCTCTGGTCGAGGGAGGTATCGAAGCTCGGGAAAGGCTTTCCATATCTGTTCTGGTCGCATGAGACCCTCACACGACAACCCGCCCACCTAACACCGTGTCAGGCATGTATCAGCAGATTTTCCATCCTGATATGATTCTAGTAAATTCCAGATCAAACACCGCAGGGTGAAATCACCTACCATGTCCACCAATCTCTGATACCGACCTTCTAAGTACCCCAACAATTGCCCTGAGGTCCAACTCACCCCCAATCAGAGGGCTTTCCTAAGTTCTAGACGATGCGGTCGAACCAAAATTAGCCCTCGAGCGCAGAGGCAGTGATGTTGGAAGTCTTCCGAGGCGTTTCGATTGCGACAGCGCTTGCGGTTCCTTGAAGGAATGGGTAATGCACGATGCCCAATCCAGTTTCGAGAGAACTGAGACTACGAGAACGAGGATTCGACCGGAAGGCCGGTAATGAAATCGAACCTTTTTGTAAATTTGCACATTACTCGCTCTGTTGTTTGCGCAATAATCTGCCACGGTCCACAGTGACGCTGGGGAAAAGGAGCGTCAAGCCATCAGGAAGCCGCGGGGGACAATTTCGCCGTATACCGTTGGCCTGCCGCCATTGGGCGTACAGGTGAGCAAGGACTTCGGTTTGGGCACCAAGGATGAAACTTATATTTCAGAGGGTGGGCAAATGGTTGGCGGACCGTGTGCGTTGGCAGAAATACTCGTGGACCTACAAATCGGGCTGGATGAGGGTAGCCTCGGCTTTTTAAGGCAATTTTTGGCGGGATGGGCTTCCTACAGATGATCTAAGATGTTTAGGTAGGTACCTTAAAATTGCCTTCTCCCGGCATGATTTGAGTAGCTGCGCTTGCTTGTTGAAATCTGTTGTTCGGCCCTTACAATCCTGACAAAGATGCACGACCGCCGTTGATCGAGCCACTATCTCATCTGCACTGAATCTCTTGCAGTGCAGCACTTTATTTGGCTAGCCCAGTGTGTAGCTTAGCGATGGGGGCAATTGTTGTTCAAGGCAAAAGCAGGCTGTGGTCATTTTGGTACCACACCTCCACACAACCAGCTGCGCTACTCCTGCATGTAATACGCATGGCTATATAGTCTAAAGTGATCATATGATATGTGTCAATGCGCCATTTCCTGATCTCTGGGCCGCGGCCAGGATGCGGGATGTTGGTTTTTTGGTGCGATGTTTCGGGTCTTTTGTGGCCGAATAAACACTGGATCGTTGTTTCAAGAACGGGAAAAGCAAGCATTGATCAGGCAGATCTTGGCTCGTATTTGAGTGAAAGCAAGGTAGTCTTGTATGATGCGGTACGTCACCTTAGGCAGCAGCAAAGGAAGCTGTGCCGCTTTGCTACAGAATGGACCTAATGTTGGTGTGCGATTTCTTGCACAGGGCGAAACCGCCAAGGCTGGCTGACCGCCGGCCTGACGTGCAGCCCATTTTTGTGTTTGGAAGAAGCATCCACCGTCAATCATCAAACGCAGCCTCAGCATCGACTTATCTGTGTATCACGCCACAAAGCCTTTATTGTTGTTTCCATCTTTACTAGCATCCGTGTAGCGCTGCTGTTCACCGAGCACGTCACACGGAGCCATGGTTCTAGACATAGCCCAGGATGCGCCACGGAGCCGTGTATCTCGAAGGAATGAACAGAGTGAGCAATTTGGACCTATGAGAGTCGCAAATCGGCCTGCGACTCTGTTAGCCCTCCTGCTACCAATGTACCTTGCGACTGCCTGCTTCACCTGTGCGACAGTACTGGCTGTGGATAACTCGCAACCAGCTTGGCGTGAGATCTTGTGCCACGAGATCGAGACGGAAGAGGGCTGCAAAAATATCATCTCCCAGGTTTTGAACGCCAACAATTGGTCCGCAAATTTCTTTGGCGAGCCATCACTTGGTTTTGCACGTGCCAGGCCAGCCTCATCAAACGCTTGCAAATAAAGCTGCACAAAATTCCCAAGTTGACAATTGCATCAGGTTTGGCCTCTTTAGTTGCGTTTTTCGTGTTAGCCAGTGCCTCTAAGTTCTCTGCGTAAGTTCTCAAGGCCTTTTGGGATGGTGGAAAACGTCCTATCTGGCCCAAGACCGCACCCCTTGGCCCATCATTCTGATCGCAATCGGTCCATAGACTCGATACCACCAAATCTGTAACCCTTCTCTCAGCTTTCAGCAACTCTCTACCACCGATAAGTCTCTTTTGTGCGGTATATTACGGCTCCAAAGATAATCTAAAAGCGTGGGTATTTTTGTCAAACTCGTTATTTTTCCTCGGCGGTGGGCCTTTCACCTGCACAGCTTTCAGATATGCTCTCATTTCTGGGCTTGTTGAGAGCACATTCCCTCCATCAAGGTGAGTAATCTTTGGCACCCCGTATACATGTTTCTGTCAAGATTGGCTTTTCACTGACAACATAACTCCTTCGAAGCACCCCTCGGATGTATGTACTGGCGTTCCAGTTTGATTCTGGGGTCCAAACGCTGTCCCGTTTTTTGACATCCTACCTTTCTCTTTTCATTGTGCAATTCTTCGGCATCCGTATACCGCTGCTCATTTCTGCCATGATGACGGCTCTGGGATGTGTTGCCTTGTGGCACCTGCCGTCGGACAAGTCAACTTGGAGAGAGAATAGACCGTCCGGAAACCTTCACGACATAATTCAGACTATAAGGGCCAGGTTACCGAACATCAAAGCCGGATTAATTCTGGTTGTCACCCTATGTCTTTGCCCACTATCAATAGGAGGTGGGAACTTTGCCTTTGGATTCATGTCCTATCGCCTCTCATTGCACCAGGACCACGACAGACATACTCGAGAAGCCAAGGTCGTCGGCTCTTTGGGGACGACAATCGTATCCCTAATGTCAATTGTCTGGTTCATGTACCAGGGAAAACAGGGTGCCAACAGTTTACTTTATAACCTAGGCCTGACAATCATGAATGTCTGCCTCGGCATCTCGGGAGCCGCACTATTCATCGGCACATCGTCATTCGTATCATTGACAGCCGGGTACGCTCTCATAGAGATCGGCCGACAGTCCTTGACACTCATGAAATCCGTTTTGGCCGCCTGGCTGGTACCCGTCGACCAGGAGGAAGAAGAGAGGCCTCAAGGAGGTGATACCAGGCCACTTCTCGAACCAAGAGATTATTTTCCAAATTACGGAGCAAACGGTCACACGGCAGGGCCCCAAGACGCTGTGGAACAAAATTCGGAGTCATCGTCTTCTCCAGGTCTTTTCTCAGGCATTGCAAGCCACGAGGCAGAGGAAGAGCAGGTTGTCATTCCTCAGCGGAATACTGTGCGCGAACAGAAGCGACTCGTCGGTTTCGGTATCGACGTGCTCCTCGAAGCCGTGCCCAAGCTTGCAATAGGGCCCACGATGCACAGTCTACTACAGCTGCAAAAACAGGGCTCATGGTGCTGGCCGTATGTATTCGTGGCTGCCTCCAGTACACTCGCACTTGTCTTCTTGCTAGCAGCTACCTGGTTCTCGTGCTTGGAAGTGGAGGCTAGTGACAGCTATAGCGATTCCAACGAAGTCACAGACCAGCAGGAGGGAGAAATCTAGACGGCAGAAGAATCCGCAGTGTTCAAGCTTAGAGCAATAGATAAAATTCGGGGTATATTCAGGAGGAGTGGTTATTATGCTAGTATGTTCGCAACACGCCTCGCTGCAGAGGCTGAAAGCAGGTCACTTAATCGCTATACGCAATGTGCGGCAGGAGCAGAAGGTTTAAGATCATTTCACTTCAGGCAGCTCGTACGCTTAAGCACTGCGAACCTCGCGTTCCTCGCGCTCGACCTCGGCAACCTTCTCAGAGCGGTCCGCGACCTCCTGGAGCTGGGGCTTCAGGACATCAGCAGCCTCCTGCGAGAACTTGCGCGCGCCGACGCCGTGCTCGAACAGCAGGTCGAGCTCGGAGTAGGTCAGGCCCTTGGCCTCGGGCATGCGGAAGAAGGTCCAGACGAGGAAGAGGGCAGTGATACCGGCCCAGAAGAAGCCGCCCTTGGCACCCCAGTTCCAGGCCTTGCGGCCGACGATCTGGGGCATGAGAGCGTTGGTGATGAAGCCACCAGCGTTGTAAAAAGCGCGAGCAAGGGCGACGGTCTTGATACGCAGGCGGGTCGAGGGAATCTCGGCGACGATGGTGTAGCAGGCAGGGCCGACGGAAAGCTGGAAGGCAAAGACCATGACAATGACGAGAACACCGACAGCCCACGAAGTACCGGAGGTCTCCGCAGGGATGCCGAGGAAGCCCATGATCATGAGTATGGCGAACATGGCCGAAAGACCGCCGAGGTACATGGTGCGACGGCCGAACCACGTCATGATAAACCAGGCGAGGATGCAACCGAACAGACCAATGCCGGACTGGCCAAGGCTGAGGGCGTAGCTGTGCTTGGTGTTGAGACCAGCCTGAACCATGAACTGCACACCGTAGCCCATGAATGGAACACCGCAGAAGGATTGGGTCATCCAGGTGATACAGGCGATCTCGGTACGGCGAAGGTTGCTGCCGCGGAAGCAGTCCCAGTAGTGAGCGCCGGTGCTCATCTCCATCTCAAACTGGTTGGTGACGCGCATCATCTCCATATGAGCATCGAGGTCAAATTGAACACCGCTCTCGGGCTTGGTAAGCCTGCGAACAGCCTCCTTGGCCTCCTCCATGCGGTTGTGGCGGATAAGCCACCAAGGGCTCTCAGGAGCGAAGAAGGTACCAACAATGATGGGAATGGGCCAGATCTATTCCTTGTTAATACTGTTGCCTCGATGGTTTGGAATTGAGCTTACCCATTGAATAGCGAAGGGGATGCGGTAGCTCCACTGGTCAGTACGGTCGATGAAGCCGTTCAGGATGCCGACAGCGATGAACTGGCCGATAACCCAGCAGATGTTGATCTATTGCAGTCGTGTTAGTCTGGAAAATCCGAAGATGGCTCAAGCACAAACTTACCCAGGACGTCATGTAAGCTCGAAGAGCGGTAGGGCAGATATCAGCAGCGTAACTGGGAGCAAGTCAGCAAGGCCTTCGTCGTTGCTTTGACCGAATTTGGGATACTTACGTGACAGCAAGAGTCTGGAAGATACCCCACGGGATACCCTGGATGAGGGCTCCAGCGAGGAACATGGGGAGACCGTTGGAGAAGAAGGGGATGAAGATGGCGCCGATCATAGCCGTCATAGCGATGATCATGGTTTTGCGATACCCGAGCCACTCAGTAATGAAGCCGTTGATGATGAGGCCGATGATGGATCCGACCTGAACACCGTTGCCAATGATCGTCTGCCACTGGGCCGAGATCAGAGGGCCGTTCTCGTCAACCTGGTTGCCGTAGCGTTCCATGAAGGTCGGGTAGGCGTAGAAGCTGCTCATCAGATGGGTATCGTATCCCTGAATCATAACGTTAGTGCGAGGATACGTTGTAGAGCTGGCAAGACTGAGACTAACCTCCATGATGATAGATAGCGAGATGACGAAAGAGAACAGGATAGCCTTGGGCCAGAAGCGGAAAGTATCGCGAACGCTCATCTGACGCTCGTTGTTGAGGGCAACATCCGTCTCGTTGCGCTGCCCATGGCTAATCGTCGGAACGGCGGCCAGCCCGTCGCTGGGGCCGAGATCCTTCTCCTGGGACATGTTGAAGAGACCTTTTGTCAGAGTATCCTGCCAGTAGGAGCTTGTTGATTGATGACCGGTTGGTTAAAGGGCGGCTGACTCAGAAGCATCGTGAGTAGACTGATGTGTGGGCGTGACCTGTTATATAGTTGTTCACGATGGGGAAGCCAAGTTGGATGCCATGGCCCATTACAGCTTCTCAAGTCATCACGGACGAATCAAGAAATTGCAGCACTAGCAGATCGAACAAGTCAATCGACCGACAAGGGATGGGAGGGTTCTTTCGTCAAACCGAGGAACTGGAGTGCGGAGATGTGACCTGAATCGGGTAACCAGTTGGGCCTCAGACCTGGAGTGGCCTCCACGACTCAGGGTCTGGACACCCATTTTCTGTCGAGTAGCTCCTTGGCCCTGTTTCCATACCTGCCTTGGGGAACCCATGGGGATGAAGGATGCGGTGCACCAGATGGCGGGCATGCGGGCGATGTGGAGGAGAACCCGTTCACCACGTGCAACTACCGATGTTCCTCAAATCCGCAGTGAAGCCCGGAGCCGAGTGCTGGTTGGAGAGTTTTCTCCGTAAAATTTTCCGTGTCGCACGATGAGCGAGAGATATGCAGATGAAGAGAAAGCCGGCTTGAGCCGCGGCCAATATGCAGTGCGAGTCAAATCGAGTCCCAAAGGAGGATAATCCATGAGGTGGAACCACGACCAGCGCAAAACTTCTCCGCTGGTTTCCCGCCCCTAACCGCTGAGGGGTTCCTCTCGCGTCTTCTTCAGGCGGGGAGACAGGGATCCCATTCGTCTGGGGATGTCAACTCAATCGGAAAAGTGATGGGGCCAGTCGGGGTTCAGGCCCCGGTTCATACCATGACCACCCAGAGCCTGGCCCCGCGTGCGTCTGGTTTGCGGGACACCTCGTCCATTGACGACCAGTTTTCCGTCCAGCATCATCATTGTGTGTCTGTGCCTGACCAACGCGCCCGCTGGGCTGGATCACTTCATCATCAATCCTGCTTCCGTCCCCTGGTGCTAACCCCCCTATCACCGACGACTTGGGACACCGTCCCTTCCCTGGGCGCGGAATGCGGAAGCCCTCGGCCTGTGCCGCGTGCCGGTAAGACACTCGCCCGAACTCGCACCAAGGCCTTGATGCCGGTTGCTTTTGCCTCGCCATCTCATCACCCGAGCAAGGCCTGGAGGCATTCGAGTCCACCCTCCACATGTCGATCACCTGGACTAACATGTTCTGGTCCACAGGAGTCGTCGGCGCAAATGTCAGACGAAGGATGGCCGGCGCGCATGTGTGCACTGCGAGGAGAGAGGCATACCATGTGTCCAAGGCCCGCCAGAAGGCGGCTACTATGACCAGCGTGCTCAACAACGCAGCCAAGTAACGTCGCAAGCGCTGACCCCGGAAGGCGGATCAACAAGTGCGTCGTCCCACCACCATGGCGATGGGTTCAGCCCCGAAGTTGTCGAGCCAGAGCCGCAGGCTACCTTGCCGGGCCTTGCCATGCGTCTAGACCTCGTACGGCTCTACTTCGATTACATCCACGATCAGTTCCACTCGCTGTTTCATCGACCGAGCTTCATCGAGGATGCTTTGCAGGACCGCGTGCCCCATAGCATCCTGTTTGGCATGTTCGCCCTGTCTGCAAGGTACGTTGGCGAAGCCACATGGTGCCCCTGAGTGTCTCGGCCGAGTCGAACCCCAGGAGGAGGCATCGCGTCGAGAGTCATGCTTCCTGCATGCACTCTTGCGGAGCCGGAGATAGGGCTGACGGGTACGACGTTCAGATTCTCGACCGATCCGTACTTTGCGGATGTCGATCCCCGCGACAGGGCCACAGGCTACCTTCGCGCCGCGGAGAAGCTGCTTGACCTTCGCGATATTTCTCTGACGACCATCCAGCTCTGCGTTCTCATCGGGTCCGGCGAGACTGCGGCGGGGCAGGCCGAGGTTGAGAACATCTACTACGGTGTGGCCTGCCGCATGGCCCAGCTGCTCGACCTCCCAAACAGGCCAGCCTCCAATCTGCTGGAGAGCGAGATCAACCTCAGGGGTGAGGCTTGTCGATGTTTCAAATGTTTTCAGATCACTGTGCTGACAAGGTGTAGTCTGGTGGTCACTGTCGATGATTGATGTGTGGTCTTCTACGGCTGTGAAGCTCCCCAAGCTCTTGCCAAACAGGACAGACATTTCCCTGCCCATGGACGACCTATCATATCTCGCTCTATCACCAGAAGGACTCGCTAGTGCCAGGACGAGTGCCTTTAGCCACGGCTCTCAACTTCTGGCGCAGATGATCAAGGTCAATAGGATCCTGCTGGAAATTAACAACTTCAACCAGCGATGCGTCACCGAGAACCCGACCTGGGAGACTTTAAGCCACGGTGTCGACGTGCTGACGGCGCGGCTGGACGACTGGGTTGCTAATCTACCGCCGAATATGCACGATACGCCCGAGAACTTTGCCTGGTTCGCGTCGAGGGGCCTCGGACGAATCTTTGCGGCGGTGTACCTCGGCTACTACCACTTCGGGCAGCTGCTGTACTACCAGTTCCTGCACGGCGCAGCCATCGACGCGCCACTATCACCAGAAGATTCCAGGGGCACCATGGCGACAGAGTCGCCATCGGCGATGCGGCGGCAAGAATATGCGCAGAGAACCAAGGAGCATGCGGGCCGGTTGTGCGAAATGGTGTATCGGTCACAGGCAACCGCGGGGGCTGATGTCCGCTACACGATGACCTCGCACGTCTTGGTCATTGCATCCACGGTGCAGATCCACACTCTTCTGTTCAGTGGCGATGAAGATGACATCGGCGTGGCTCGATCGAGGTTGGAACGGAACTTTGAGCTCTTGCTGCGACTACAGTGCTACTGGCCGACAGTCGATCGCGCCATCAGTCGTCTGAGGGCCTTCCATGCGACGGCTCGTACAAGTGTGGATTCGAGCTTCGTCTTGGATCGGTGGATGCTACGCTTCATGGTTGAGTTTGCCGAGAGCATGGAGGAGAAGGAGGCGGAAGCATGGCGCGGTGGCAGCGAGGAGATGGAGGCGCTCTGGAGCCGGCAATAACGGCGGGATCATGATGATGGACGAGATCTGAAATAATGATGGTATGGGAGGCGCGTTGTCCGTTGCGTCAGTCTGCATTGGCGAATATTGCTGGAGAAAGCACAAGGACAGATTGGACATGCAGGAAGTGGAGGAGCAAAATCATGTTATTGTAATACCCAGCAATTCCTTCTGTATATCCTTTTACTGCATGTACCTTGACGTCGTTGCACCTGCCTCAGCCTCGCCTGGAATTTTCTTTCTCCCGTGACACCTCGTGCCGTGTGTTGGATGTTCGAATACCAACATCATCATGTCTTTACAGGGACGACCCCATCACGCTCCACGGTGGCATCGTGAGGTTGACTCGCGTCGGCACCTTCATCCCCGGCGATCGCACCGCGTACGGTGTACGCCCCCCCCCCCGTGGGGACCTTGGCCTGTGGAGCAGCGGAGAACTCGCCGCTGCCATTTCCCATCATCTTGGCAGTCTTCAACCCCAGGGTCTCGGTCGCCGACACGAAGGTTATCCTGCGCCTCGGCACTCCTTTGATGACTGCATTCTAGAGGTCCCGACCGACACAACGACTGCGGCACTTGCGCAGATGCGGTATCGCCTACAGGCGTGGCGGGACGCTACAGATAGGGCCACGATCTGGCTTTCGACTAGTTGCGCCTTTGACGCTCGTTTTCAGAAGCACGTCGGTGTTTGAATTCCATAAAGAACGGCCAAGGATCGCCAGTCTGCAAATGAGGTCGGCCTTGCAACGAAATCATCATGGCCCGACACTCCACCATCGTCGTCGCCCTCGCTCTTGTCGGCCGAGCTGCATCACGGTTTGATGGCTTGGCCGATACCCCACCAATGGGTTGGGTACGACTCACTCCTCTCTTTTATTGCCTTCCTCGACATGGCGCATGCAGAACGCTAACGGCCACGCGCGCAGAACAATTGGAATGCTTTCGCTTGTGATGTATCGGAGCACCTGCTGCTCAGTACCTCCGAACGGGTCGTCAGCCTCGGCCTTCGTGATCTTGGCTACAACACGGTCGTGCTCGATGACTGTTGGCAGGATCCTGCCGGCAGAGATGCCAAGGGAAAGGTCCAGCCCGATCTGGCCAAGTTCCCTCGCGGCATGAAGGCCATTTCCGACGCCCTGCATGCCCAAAATCTCAAATTCGGCATGTACTCCAGTGCAGGGGAATTGACCTGCGCTCGATTCGGTGCGTGGCTGTGATAAAACAAGTTTCTTGATGCCATGATCATGTGGCGCTGATCATAACCACAGCGGGATCGCTGGATCACGAGAGAGACGACGCGGATAGCTTCGCCGCCTGGGGCGTTGACTTTCTCAAGTATGACAATTGCTTCCACATGGGTCGCATGGGCACGCCGGAAATCTCGTTCAACCGCTTCAAGGCCATGTCTGATGCCTTGAAGGCGTCGGGCCGCGACATCGCCTTAAACCTCTGCAATTGGGGAGAGGATTACGTGCACACGGTGAGCTCAGTCTATCCAGTGTTTGCCCCGGGCCCCTCTGCAACCAGTCCCTGATCCCTGACTGGCCCCTCTCTTGGCATCTGCCAAGACCTCACGATAACTTCATCACCGGAAATCTACCACAGCACACCGCTCAAGCTGACTCTGATTTTTTTTCTTCGCACAGTGGGGCGCATCTCTTGCCCATGCCTGGCGCATGTCTGGCGATATTTACGACTCCTTTACGCGGCCCGATGACCTGTGCAGCTGCGCCTCGGTTGCCGACCCCTTCTGCGTCGCCCCCGGCACGCAGTGTTCCGTGCTCTTCATCCTGAACAAGGTTGCGCCCTTTGCCGACCGCGCCATCCCCGGTGGCTGGAATGACCTTGACATGCTCGAGGTAGGACAGGGCGGCATGACGGACGAGGAGTACAAGGCCCACTTCGCCTTGTGGGCGGCTCTCAAGTCCCCGCTGATGCTCGGCAACGACCTCCGCATCATGGACTCTGCGGCCCTCTCCATCATTAACAACCCCGCCATCATTGCCTTGAGTCAGGACCCCCACGGCCGCGCTGTCTACCGTGTCCGCCGAGACGTCGGCCCCCCACGCGTCCCCGTCGCAGACGAGTATGCTGCCCAGGAGGCCCACATATGGAGCGGCCGACTTGCCAACGGCGACCAGGCCGTCATCTTCCTCAACGCCGCCGGCGCCGATCTTGACATGAAGGCCTCCCTCGCCGAGATTTTCGTCGGCGATGGACCGGGCGGGTCGGCGCCCCACGTCCGCGTAGGCTGGTCCGTACACGATCTGTGGGCACACCGCATGCCCCTCGAGACGGCCGAAGCTCTCATCGGGGCCAGTGACGACGGCGTCCGTGCCGATGTCCTCCGCGCCGCGAATTGGTACAACGCGACGGAAATACCGTATTCCCAGGGACTGGCCAACGAGGACCCGCGGCTGTTTGGCGAGAAGATTGGCGAGATACAGGCCGGCGGCGATCTCGAGGTCAAGGTTGTCAAGCATTCGGCGCGAGTATTTCGTCTCAGGCGCATCGCTGTCGAGGGCGATGGGTTCAAATCAAAGGCCCACGCGCGAGAGGACCACGAGGAAAAGGATGAGCTGTGATCGAAAGGGTGACTAAAAGTCCCTGAATGGATACTCTGTTGCCGCTACGCCTGTATTCGTCTTTTTGTTGCACTCTAAACATTTTCCATCTTCTTCAAGGGTGCTTCTCTTGACATCTCATTTAATATCTCATGATGGCCGATTTGGCGTTGGCTACCTGTAGCTTCGCATATCCAACCTACGCTCAACAACGCCCGCGATCAGTGTTCCCTTGTCATGGCGCATGTTCGACAGAGTAATCATCATCCACGTGGACTGGCTAGTGCTAGAAATGTCTGATGAGCAGCCAGAAACCAGACCGCACTGGCTGTGACGTAGAACAACAGCTGTACCAGGAGACCGAAGTGGTCGTAGCAGCCTGGTAGCATCTTCATCATCTTCATCAAATATTGTATCTTCTGTGCCCTCAGTGGTTTCGAATTGTGAAAGACCCATACGCCGTAGAAATCCAGGGTGATAGCTTTCAAATTTGCTAATTGAAGTACCCGCAATCGCTGAACCAAAATATCTGCTTTCGGCCTGCAACACTGCACATTTCGAATAATCCATAGGTGCACATCAAGAAGAAGCGACATTTCAGAAATAACGCGATAGCAATAGCAATGGAAGCCCTGCCCACAATTATGAACACTTCGTAACTCTATCCTTCACCAAACGGTCTACCAGGAGCGCTGCCCTTGACCCCCATCACACAAACTACAACTTCAGAACCTCACCACTTGCTGGAAGTGCCGGTCGTTGTAACCTGCGTCCTTGTGGTTCGAGTAATCGGGCATGGCGTGTTCCTTGGAGTGAAGCACGATGAGTATATCGAAGGCAGGCTGCAGATAACGAGATTCGGATTTACGCTGCACGCGTGCACACCTCGCCGTTGGCTTGAAGGGGACTGTCCGGAAACGGTCGTGTCCCGCGTTTGTCAATTGGTATGGTGATGCTGTCGCGAACATTGATCATAGACTCGTTCAGTCCTGTTACCCACGGCAAGTTGGAATTCGGACCTACTCTTTATTCAACCGAGCAATGCCCCGCCGGGAGCCATTTGGTATTTCACCAGCCTGAGTACGGTTACATCGTGCTGCACATGAGACTTCGCTGCGCATGTTTTTCCGAATGTTGCATCCGAGCAGACGGAAACTTTCCCAATACTACCTCTCATCCCAGCAGCAACAGACATACACGCACCATCATACTGTGCACTTTGGTATCCTGGTATTGACAGTCGAGTAATCATGTGCTTCATTAACTACTAAATCTACATGTTGAGTCGCCTTCAGGCGCCCCTTACACAAGGTACCTGAATGTCGAAGGCAGCCTGGTGGGGTCATCCTGAGCGAGCTCAGCCGTCTGCGCCGCGACATCGCCGTGCGTCTCCCACGCGGCGCCGCCCTGCTCAATCTTCTTGTTGAGGTTGACGAGCACGACGCGGAAGCCGTAGCAGCCGACAATGGTGACGCCGAACATGGAGAGCACAATGCCGTAGCTGCCGCGGAAGCCGTTGGCCTCGAGGTTCCACACATAAGAGCCGATGATGTTACCAATCTGAGAGAAGGCGTTGATCATGGCGATGGCGACGGCACGCTTGGCCGGAGGCCGGGGGAAGGAGGACGAGATCCAGGAGTAGAAGACGATGAAGCCAGCGTAGGCACCAGCCTGGAGGAAGAGGGCGACGTAGCGGGCGGCGACGTTGTCGGTGGCCATTGAAATGACGAAGCCGACGATACCCATGCAGATGGGCCAGACAATGTGCCAGAAACGCTCTTGTTGGCGATCGGCGTGCCACGCGTTGATGAGAGAGACGATGCAGGCGAAGGCCCACGGCGGGGAGCTCATGAGCAGGGTGGGGACGTATCCAAAGCCGAGAGTACCAGTGAGGGTAGGCTGCAAGGGGTTAGGACGTGCGGTTCGTAGTCGAGGTGCAGATGACGCGGTGGTGACTTACGAAGTAGGCGTTGAACGACAGACCGATGACGTAGGTGGTGAAGGTGATCATCATGAGGTAGATCTTGTAGTCCTTGACAGCCATGTAGAAGCCATCTAGGGCGCCCTGCTCGGCAGAATCGGCATCTGCCTCGCCAACGTCCTCCGTCATGCGCATTTGAGCGACCTGAAGCTCCTCTTCGGTGAAGCCCTTCGAGTTGTGGGGCAGATCGGGGAGAATGAAAGCGGCCGCGATGGCAATGGCCATGGTGGCAGCGCCCTCGACTGGACGATTTGTTAGCTGGAAAGCTCTCAATGCTTGATTGAACACGAGTCTGAAGACTTACTCCAGAAAAGCCAGCGCCAAGCAGCGTGGCCCAGAACACCCTGCATGTTGGACAGCACACCGGCACCAATGAGCGCCGAGAAGGCGTTCGAGATCAAGTTTCCGCAGAAGAGAATGGCGTTACGCTTGGTGAGCTCACGGCTGGTGTACCA